GGGGCGGGGCCCAGCAATGAATGAGCCCCGGCGGCGGGCGGCGTCGGCAGCGGCTGGCAGCCGGGCGTCGGGGCGATGAAGCTGGAGGTGGCCGTCCCCTCGGTGGGGCTGCGGGCCGCCGACCTGGACAGGAGCCCGGACAAGGCGCACACGGTGAGGGGGCCCCGCGGCGCTTGGAGAGGAGGGGAGGAGGAGGAGGGAAGGGGGGGGTCCTGCCGGCCCCCGGCAGGCTGGAAGGGCCGCACTGCCCGGCCCGCAAAGGTCCTCCTCCGGGGCACACTCCCTGGAGCGTCCTGGCCTGTTTGCCTGCCAAGGTGGCTTGGCCTTCGTCGTACTCCTGGGTGGTCTTCCTCCTCCTCCTCCTCCTCTCGAGGAGACGAGGCGGCCCGAGGCTGGCGGGGCTTTGCAAGGATAAGACGGGGGCGGGAGGGCGCTATCGGCCGGGGCCAGGCGCGAGGGAGGGAGCTGGCGCGTGTCAGCCAGGGGCGCTTCCAGACGACCGCTTCTGCGGGCAGATGAACAGCTGCGCGGCCTTTTACGTCCCGCCAAACTCGCTTGTTTGCCCCCCCCCCTGCTCCTTTTCTGACTTTGGGGGTGTTAAAATGTAGCAAGTCTTTTAATTTGGGGTCCCCTCCAACGCTCCTTCTAAGCTGTGGAGTCTTGTGAGCAAAAATCCTACTTTGTGAGCTACTGGCATTAAAGTTGTGAGCGAGCAGTTTGGCCACTGCATAAATTAGTCTGCTCTGGAGCCCTCCTTCCTGAGCAAAGACAAAAATGTGTGGGCCGGAGGCTAAAAAACTGTGAGCTAGCTCACACTAACTCAGCTTAGAGGGAACACGGGTCCCCTCACCCTTTCCCCCAGAGGTCTCCCGGGTAGCGTGCCTGGTTTCCCTTCCCTTCCAGTGTTGCCTTCACAAGAATCTTGTGAGGTGGACTTGGCTGAGAGAATGGGACTGGCCCCCGAGGGCCCCCCCCCCAGTGAGCTTCCTGTGGTGAAAAGGGAAACTGGCCCCCACATCTCCCTGGGGTCAACTGTTTGGAGGTTCTCTCAGAAAATAAGGCACCGCAGGGATCTGGATCTGGACCAGGCGCAAGGGTTTTTTTTTTCAGCCTTCCTTCTCTACCGCTGTTCTCCACTTTGTTTTCCTGAGCTGAGGGGCTCACAGGCAGCCATTGTTGGCCCTAGGAGGGAAATGTACATGTTCCTTCATCGTTCTGAGGCTCTAAATGCTGGGAGAAATTGGCTGTTGAGGCGTGGTGGTTCAGAGTGTTGGACTAGGATCTGGGGACCCAGGTTCAGATGCTCACATATGTCATGGAAGCTTGCCGGGTGACCTTTGGCCAGTCTCACAATCCCAGCTAGACCTACCTCACAGGGTTGTTGTGAGGATAAAATGGAGGAGGAGAAAGGTGTGAGCTGCTTTGTGTCCCCGTTGGGGGGAAAGGCAGGGCATAAATGCACTACATAAAATGAAAGAATAAGCCCCTGCTGTTTAATCCAGGTTAGTTAGTGCGGTTATATGTGTTAGAAGATTG